CGGGTCAACGCGAGTCAAGAGCACACGGGTCAACGCGAGTCAAGAGCACACGGGTCAACGCGAGTCAAGGGTACACGGGTCAACGTGAGTCAAGGGCACACGGGTCAACGCGAGTCAAGGGCACACGGGTCAACGCGAGTCAAGGGCACACGGGTCAACGCGAGTCAAGGGCACACGGGTCAACGTGAGTCAAGGGCACACGGGTCAACGCGAGTCAAGGGCACACGGGTGAAAGCGAGTGAAGGGCAGGGTGGTGAAGGGCAGGGTGGTGAAGGCGAGAGATGACTGACCCAGAGGCGGTGATGGCCCAGAAGCTCACAGTCCCGTCCAGCGAGCTGGTATGGGGTGCACCGCAGCACGCCTCGCACATGCATGCATGCACACATGCACACACGCACATACGACATCACATGCACAAACACACACACTCACACTCACACACAAACAAGAAGAGGAGGTGTCCTGCACAGGAGTCAGCTGTATGGGATGGAACGAACCCTCATTCCCACTCCTGAAACTGCAACTGCACCAGAGAATACTCTCACATTGCATTTGGAATTAGGTCAGCCCAGCCGACAGCAACAGAGAGCCCACCTGACAGCAACAGAGAGCCCACCTGACAGCAACAGAGAGCCCACCTGACAGCAACAGAGAGCCCACCTGACAGCAACAGAGAACCCACCTGACAGCAACAGAGAGCGCACCTGACAGCACAGTGTGCGGGGTTGGCCGGGTTGAATTCAATGGAGCGCAGGCGGCGGCGGTGGTTGCTGGGGACGTATGTGGGCGGCAGCAGGTGTGGTAACCACCGCGCTGCCCTCTGCTCACTGCTCTCACCTCGCACCAGCTGCACAAGCTCCTCTGATTGGTCAGGTCCCATCGGCCAGTGGACTGTGAGGGGGACACATGAGCACACATGAGCACACATGAGCACACATGAGGACACATGAGCACACATGAGGACACATGAGCACACATGAGCACACATGAGGACACATGAGGACACATGAGCACACATGAGGACACATGAGGACACATGAGCACACATGAGCACACATGAGGACACATGAGGACACATGAGCACACATGAGGACACATGAGGACACATGAGCACACATGAGCACACATGAGGACACATGAGGACACATGAGCACACATGAGCACACATGAGGACACATGAGGACACATGAGGACACATGAGGACACATGAGCACACATGAGCACACATGAGGACACATGAGCACACATGAGCACACATGAGCACACATGAGGACCCATGAGGACACATGAGGACACATGAGGACACATGAGGACACATGAGCACACATGAGGACACATGAGGACACATGAGGACAGGGCCGCAAGGTTTGCAAGATGGCAGGGCGACAGGAACACAGACAAAACATGGACAGAGACAAACCATGGACAGCACAACCAGACGTTTAGGACAAAAGCGGCAAAAAAAAACAAGAATTGACCTGCTTTCTTCTCTTCTTTTCCACGCTGCTCCATTCCAGGAAGCCCCTTCCGGCCCTCGCGTACGGCCGACCCCCCCTGCAGCAGAAAGTCATCATACGACATCCCGCCTGCCATCCCGGCTGCTGGCCGCGCCGCGCCTCCACCCGACAATTCCCGCTTCTTTCTGCCGCCACCCTCCACATCATCCTCCCTCCTGGCACACCGGGCAAGCGGTGAGGGGCTCTTCCTGCCCCCCCCGCCCTCATCGCCCCGCACGCTCCCCCTCTCCGTGCTCCCTGCCGCCTTGCTAGCAGCAGCAGCAGCAGCAGCAGCAGCAGCAGCAGCAGCAGCGGCGGCAGCATGGTGGCGGGGAATGGGAGACAGGCTCCCCTGTCTGCCCTCTGCCACCCTGCGCTGCTCCTCACGCAACTCTCCTCCTCCACCACCCACCTTCCGCCGCCCCTCCTCCTCACTGCCCTGCTCACGCCTCCTCTTCCGCTCCCACCCCTCCTCCCTCGCGCTCCCCTCCTCCCTCATGCTCTCCTCGTCATCCCGAGCAAGCCCAGTCCCTCGCACATCCCTCACAGCCGCATGTTCATCCTTCTCCCTGAATCTGGCACTCACATCCCTTGCCCCAACACCACTGTGCCTCGCATCCCCAAATCCCACCCCCTCTCCCCGTCGTCCCTTGTCACCATGCCACTCACCTCTGTCCCCATCCCCGCCTCTACTCCCATCCCCGCCTCTACTCCCATCCCCGCCTCTACTCGCACCGCTCTCTCGTCCCTCTCTGTCGTCCCCACCCACGTCACCCCTACCAAACCTTTTGTCCCTGCTATCCCGAACCTCCCTACCAAACCTTCCATCTCCGCTCTCCCGAACCTCCCTTCCAAACCTTCCATAGCTGCTCTCCCGAACCTCCGTATCAAACCTTCCATCCAAGTTCTCCCGAGTGTCCCTACCAGGCCCGGCATCACCATGACCCCTCACAATCTGCCCGTTGCTCGGGTCCCGCCTATTCTTCCCTTCCTTATTGTCACTCTCCGTTTCAGCGTCAGCCTGCGACCGCTGTTCCTTTGGAATGCCCGCCTGCGCGCCAAGTGGAATTCGTTGGCTCGCTCCTCCACCCCACTCCCGCCTCTGCCCCACCCGCTGCGACCGATCCCTCACCCCCTCCGGACTCTCTACATCCGACTGAGGAGGCAATTTCTCGGAAGCTGCCAGCACGGCTGCTGGCTGCTCGGAAGGCCGTTCACGAGTGTCGCCGGCGAGCAACCGCGCGATCGCCGCTTCGGTCGCCGCCAGTCGCTCGGCTGCCGCGTCGGCCTGCGCCAGCAGCTGCTGCCGCTCCTTCCGCTGCCGGCGCGCCACGCGCTCCAGCTCCGCGATGCGCGCGTGACGATCGCCCCCGTCGGCGCCATCAGCGGCATCAGCGGCTGCGTAGTCACGAGCAGCACGCTGTTGGTTGGGCGTCGAGGCCATCCCTAAATTTCGAACGCCGAAATGGGTTCGAAATTGTGTGATCCCCCAACGTCACCCTGGCGGGGTGATCCTTCGGATGCCACCAAGAGTCCTCCAGGTTAGCGCGTGCTGCCACCAATCATAATTTGTAAAAAAAAAAACAACCTTGGAAGAGGTTCTAACTTTTCCGTGAAGATGCCCGAACTTCAAAAAGTTTAGGGAAGACGTCGCCCGAATCCCTCCGCGAAAACCCGTTTGCCTCTGCGGGTTTTCCTCGGACGGATTTTCGTTTTCCCGCAGTCGCCTAGCGGGGTACGCGAGGGGCGGGAGCCACCCCCCCCCTCCCGCCCGAAAACGGGCACCCCCAGCTGGCGCCAGCTGCCGATGACGCCAGCAGCCCGCGCCCTCGAGCTGGCAGTGGTCCCCCTCCCAACCGAGCCCAACCCCTCGCTCGGTTCGTGGACGGGTTCCGTCCGGTAACCCACCCATCCCTCGCCGAGCGACGCATCGCCGACGGAACCAGTCCGCGAAATTTCGCCGGCCAGACGAAAGCGACGCCCATCTGCGCCGCGCTCCACCGCTCTCGCCCTAGACGGGCCCGTTTCGTTCAAGCCGCTCGATCTTGGTGACGTGTCGAAGGCCCCCTCCCAAACCTTGGAAGGGGCCTTTCAGCTGCATGCAAGGCGGCCCACCCCATGCTACCAACAACCAGGTTTCACGTCGAGGCCAATAGGGCCCCGCCGGCCTCCGCGAAGAGCTCCTCTCTCCTCCTCCCGCGTCTCGGAACGCGCCCTGCCTCCTCGCCCTTGAACCCCCCTGGTCCGTCGCGGTGGGAGGGATGGCAAACAGCTAATACCCTGCGTCCGGTCTCATTTTGTTGCTGTTTCCGATTTTTACTTCCCTACTTCCTAGTCCCTGCTAGTTCCCAACTCCCCTGCGCGCCCGCCCTCTCCACTGCTAGGCCTGACATGGCTACGGGCCCCGCCTCCGTACCCGTCATGGACGAGGCGACGGTTCGACGCGGCCTCATCCTTAGTGCAGGCAGGGTCGAGGTGGAGGTGTACGAGGACCAGCTGAATGCGATTAGAGAGGTGCCGAAAGGGGAGCTCGACGAGAGCATGATGGTCACGGGCGTCGTGTACGTGTCATGTCGAACATTTTCGGTTTGCCATGTTTCGGTTTACCTATCGCTGACGTTGCCTTAGCTTTCCGTGCAGCCTGTTCTGTCATGAGCTGCTATCCGTCGAGCAGCTCCCCAAGGTGTCGATTGTGACTCCGGCGCGTGCGCGTGAAGAGATGGCCCGTCCCACCCCGGTCGCTTTTGCGAACAACCACCTCGACGGCCTCCTCGGCAAGCAAGTGGTTTTCGTTCTGCTGCGGACACCGTGAGTTCGACACTCTCCCGTCGCCTTGCGTGCTCCGTCTTTAGCCCTGAACCCGTTCTCACGTGCATTGGCTCTGCATGCAGACTGAGTGTGCCTCCGTTCTCCCACTCGAGCCTGTTTGTGGTATCGCGCCCCGACGATCTGCTGGCCCCGAGGCACCGTGGCAGTCGAACTCGAATGATGCACTTCGTTTCGAAAGACAAGTTTCCCGATATGAACCACCAATCTTCTCTAGCGCAAGAAGTTTTCGTGTGAGTGACAGCTTTGCCACCCTGCTGTCGAGCTGCTGTTCTCAACAATCTTACTCTTCTGTCCGCTGCGTCGCAGGTGGATGAAGAAGCAGCTTCGCGCCGAGTACGCGATGACCCACCAGGCTCTGACCGAGGACGACCAAGAAGTGTTGAACGTGATGGACCTTCGTCTGGAGTTGAACGAGGATTTCGACCATCTGGTAAGCTCTCCTTAGACCACCAGCGTTTTCGTCGAGCATGTGTTTTGTCGCTTACGTATGTTTTGTACCCGTTGCAGACGACGACGGCTTTGTCGAGCCCCTATGAAAACGGCGCGGCGGCTCGTGTCGTGCATGGGGTGCGCCGGATTCTGTCGAAATGGGACGACTTCATCCTACAGCCTCGAAAGGGCGAACTCGTGCCTCTAGGGAGAACGAACCCTGGCCCGGGTGTGCTTCCATTGTTCATGGTCAAGCTGTTTTCGAGAAAGATCGACCAGCTGGCGAAGGGAGCAAGTGTGGGAGGGGGTGCCGACCACGAGGGAGGAGGCGAGAAGACGGGACGCGTCGTGATTGACTACAGTGTCGAGGAGGAGGAGGAGATCGAGGAGGATACATCGAGGCAGGCTCAGCACGGGGCGAGCGGCCCGGGCGGCGATGCGAACCAGGACGAGGACTCGAGCTCGGGATCGAGCTCCGGCTCGAGCTCGAGCGATGAGTCGGTCGAGGACGACGGCGAGGGCGCCGGACATAGAACGGAGCGTACGGGGGAGCACGGAGTGGCGCTCGGGGAGCGGGTGGACGAGCGAGTAGAGCTTATCGAGCAGCAGGCGACATGGGAAACTAAGGCTGTGGAGGAGCAGGAGGGCGGAGCGGCTGCGCAGGAGGGTGGGGTCGGAGGGCAGCAGCAGGTGGTGGGCGAGGCGGCTGCGCAGGAGGGCGGGGCAGGAGGGCAGCAGGAGGAGGGCGTGGCGGCTGCGCAGGAGGGTGGGGCAGGAGTGCAGCAGTAGGAGTTTAGGGTTGCGGCTACGCAGGTGGGTGGGTCGGGAGGGCAGGAGCAGGAGGACGGGGAGGCTGCTGAGGAGTATCGTCGAGGAGATGAGCGACAGGCCGCCGTAACAAGGAGTCACCGCACGGCCAGTGGCAGCGGACAGGCGGGCCCTTCGACCGGGTGGCCTTCGACGGTAGGCCAATCGACGGCGAACGTTGCACCCGGAGGCCAGGTCGTCAAGCTACTGCAGAGGGTCGAGAAGGTCGAGTCGTCGCAGAAGCAGCTCGTCGCCGATGTATTTGCGAAACACACTGAGCAAGCCGGAGTATTCAACAGGCTTGCTGCGGATTTTCGGACGGCGTGGAATACGATTTCGGAGTCGTCGAAGAGCACACTGTCGCAGTGCGCCGAGGCTGTGAAGGGTGTCACGGCAGAGAGGAACCCGTTGGAAGGGGCGCGGGCGAAGATCGACGAGATGAGCGGGAAGATCATCGAGGGGGTGGCAGCCGCCATCACAAAAGCGAGCGAGGACGCCGTCGAGAAGCAGCTCAAGCAGGTCGAGGAGCGGCTGGTTGCTGCGGTGCTGAAGGGTTTCGAGAAAGCCATCATGGAGGACATGTTCTGCTCCACCCTCCCACCCGAGACCATGAAGGAGCTGAAGGACATTGTGAGGGAAGGCTACCATGAAGCCGAAGCAGGGAGGTTGGAAGTCCTCACCGAAGCGATGGCGAGAGGTTTTCAGCGCTCGGCGGGCCCGTCGACGAGGTCGCGTCAGGAGGGTGTGGGAGGGGTTCACAGTGGGGCTGAGCCTCGAGGTCACGAGCGGTCGGTTCCTCCGTCTTCTTCGGTGGGAAGACATGTCGGCAGCCCGTTTGGATCCCCACCTGCGCGTGGCCGTCATCCCGTCGCCAAGCCCGTCGAGGAAGTCATCGTACTCGACCAGTCGGCCCTCCCGAAGACCTCCGTAGCGGCTCCGATCGATCCACCTGATGCGTTTGCTTCGATGCGGGACATGCTGCAAGGCCTAGGGAAAACGGGTGGGAAAGGAGTGGTCGCGGGGGAGAAAAGTGGTGCCCCGAACGAGCACGTCGCCTCGACCGGGAACAGAGCCCTAGGAATGTGAGGTGCCTCTACCCCGTCAGGCGGCGGTGCGGGGAAAGGAGCGGGAGAAGCAAGCGTTGGGTTGCTGTCGAAGACTAAAGCGACATCAGCTGCGCACGGCGGTGGTGCTGGCCTTGCTGTCGGGCTTGTGGGAAATTGGGCGTCTTCCTCAACCCCTCCAGTTGCTCCTGTTGCCGCTGCTCCGTCCCTAGGCAACGTTTGCCTTAGCGATCCGAGCTCCCCTTCAACGTCGAAGAAGAAGTCGGTTGCGACGAAGTCCTCGAAGCGCGCTGCACACGCGACAGAGAGCCTTGACGTGGTGGAGCTGGCCAGCGTCCCTGGTCAGGCGCCTGTCGAGAAGACCTCTATTGTCGTTGCTGCTCGACAGGAAAAGGCGAAGAAGGCCAGGGTCACGGGTCACGCCCCACCTCCTCGACCGGACGACCAAGGCAAGACGAGAGGCTGCAAACGTCCCTTCAAAGGACCGGGTTTCGGGTTGCGGAAGGGGAAGCCGGTTTCCGAGCAGACCGTCGGCGGGAGGAAGCGGTTCCTTGGCACTTTTGAAACAGAGAAGGACCAGAAGTTCTGTACGGCCGTCTGCTGGCGCGTGTACTTCCCCGACGTTGTCCTTACGGAGTACGAAGGGTACACGGCGCAGGATGAGGAGGACTGGAAGGTCTACCTCGATGCGGCCGTAGAAATGCCAACCGGCGTTTGGAGCGTGGCGCAAGAACAAGGGGAATGTCGTTTCGACGAGTAAGTCCTGTCGAAGTCATGTTGCTAGACTCTGCTGTCGAATTCCTGCTGTTTTGGTGAATTGTCGAACACCTGCTGTTTTGCGGTGAATGTGCTGTCGGTCGAATTCTGGCCTCTTGACTAACGCATTTCTTGCGATGTGCAGTTACCTGTCGCTGTTGGCGTCGGCAAAAAAGGAAGTGAAAGCTGGAACCGAGAGGGGAATCACGCTGTGCTTGGCGATTGGTAAGGTCGCGACGCTTGGCCTGAAGCACGGGAATCTGATTTACCCGGTCCCGAAGGGCATGGCGGCGACACCGCACATGATGGCCATCGCAGCAACTGTGGCGAGCTTGTGGGCGGCTTGCAGGAAGTTGTCCAGGGAGGATATTAAGAAGGATGTCCTAGCTGCCGCAAACGCGGCGATCTACGCCCCGGAGACTGCAAAGAAGGCTTGTGTGGCTGCCATGTCCGCACTCGTGTCCATACTTTTGCACGTCGGCAAGACGTTCCCGGCAAAGCAGTGGCCCGATCACCTGCATTCGTCGGCTGTCGAAGGTCTCGGCTCGATGGACGCCATATTGCTGCAGATGCTGCGCGTGGCAGCACAGGTCTGTACGCAATGGTGCTGCTGTCGAGCTACTGCCCGCTTGCTGGAGGACGCAGGCTATGGCAGCCTGGCTATGCCAGAAGAAAAGAGCAAGGCGAAGCAGGGCGACGAGGATGCAGCTGAGACGGAAACGGGCGGGCAAGGGGAGTAGTCTAGGCTGGCACTTTGCGTGGGGGTGTTTGCTATTCTCGACAGTTGTGTTTGTTGTTTCCAAAGTTTAATCGACAGCATGTACATGTTGCATGGATCTTGACTTTCCGTTTGCGATAATGCTCAGAAGGTTCATACAGGCGAGATGGTCGGTCAGTAATGAGAACCTGCCATGCAATCTCTGAAAGAACACCCTACTCTAGTTTCCCCCCTCGTCACGATTGCATGTCGAACTTGGGCTCTCGCCCAATGTTTTCATGAACTCTTTCCATTTCTCGGCCCATTTCGTGGTTCGAAGCTCGACGCAAATGAGCTCCCGCGTGATCCTGAGGCGATCTTTGTCCTTCCGGTTGTCTTCTGCTGTCTCGACTTTGCGCTCTTCGTGAGCTGCTTCCCCGAATCCTCTTTGAGAACGAGCCCTTCAGCCAACATGTTGATCGAGTGGTTCGTGACTATTGAGTCAAGCTTATCAATGATCGTCGACGTAGCCGCGCTGCTGTCGTCGACCCTGAACATCTCGACGGCCCTCATGACAACCTCCATCTTCCGCAATTTCGACTCGACAGCTTTTGGGGTCGGTGGCTTTTCTTTTGGCTGGTCCACCGCAACGGGGGGAACGGTGGGAGGAGTCGGAGTGAACTTGCTGAACTTGACGGCGAAACCCCTCCTGTAAGCGTGTCGAAGACTGTGTCCGTTGTTCAGCGGGCTTGGCCCGTCCCAGTACGACCACGCCTGCCGCACGGTCTCGTAATTGCACCACGGCCACACCAATGCGTCGAAGAATGCTTGGTCGAGCTGGCTGCCCTTGCTCTGTTGAGTGGGCGTTGATTGAGGGGGTTGCTGTGGTGGCGGGGTGGTTTCTTCGGTCGCCGTCTGCGGCATACTCTCGCTCCCCCCCACATTCGCAGCTGCGGTTGTCGCGGCGGTAATCTTCAGTGCGTTGAACGCTTTCTGCAGTAGCACGAGTGCTTTTGCCTTCGCCTCCAACTCCGCTTGCATCGCGCCCTTCTCCCGCTCCAATGACTCAACCTTCTGCTCGAGGCCCTTGATCTTGATTTCTTTTTTCCCACCCTCCTCCTTGTGTAAGTTAACCTCTGCCCGAAGTTGCGTGATGAGGTGCTTGGTGTTGAGTTGAAAGGATGCGTCCTGCGCACAAGATCACGAGCGGTAGGTAAGTGGGCTGATGCAATCTGTTCGGATTAAGATTTAGAAGGGCCATCTTACCGAAGCTCTCGACAGTGTGGGGTTGGTCCGCATCTCGATGCCGTAATTGTCGAGCAGGTACACGTAAAGCGCCCATTTTTGGAAATCCATGTCCTTGCACAAACCGGACATCTGTGCATAAGGGTGACGCTCGCAGTCGCAAACAGTCACTCCGTCGAAGGGGTGGTCGTCACAATGGACGTAGTACATCGCAAGATCCTCGGCGATGGGCATTCGGGCGGCTTGCAGGGCCTTCAAGAAACTTTTCGCTGCGAAGAACATATGCTCCTTGTCCTGCTCGTTGTTCCATTCCATCGCCTGAATAAGAACAAACGTGGTGACATTGAGAGATAGACGGGCAAAAATTGCATTCGATGATCACGCTAAGCGCTCGACGCATCCATACCTCGTCGAGCCACTGCTCCGCCTTTGGAAATATGTGCTCCTCGATAGCCTTCAGGACCTTCGCAGGTACTTCGCTCTTCGATCTTCCAAGGTAATAGTCACCCGGTTCCGTCGTGAAACCCGCTTGCAGCTGGATGGCCCCGCGCGGGATGCCTGTGACGTATGACCTGCGCATCTCGTTCATGTCCCATTGACCCAGCTGCGCGATGTTGTCGAGTTCACAGTTTTTGTCGGCGAGGATCTGTGCCGCAGACCGTCGAAAGATATGTGTGACTTTCGACAGGATCCACTCCGCGCTTTTCATCGCCCAGGTAACCCATTTGGCATGAGTCGCGTACGGCAACTCGGTCTTGTCCTTGTCGAAGAGGGCGAAGAACAGGTGCTTCTTTGACCAATTTTCCGGGTTGCTGAAATCCAAGGGGGGCACGATCTTATCGTTGTTGTAGTGGAGCGGCACAAGGTCGAAAATGAAATGTATCCACATGAACACTGCTCCGAAGCCGCACTGCCGGAAGTCCATGTGTCGAGTCAGGTACAGGTGGCCGAGCTTGTTGTCTTTGATGGTCTTCGAGTTGCGATAGGCGACCACGAGAACGTGGATCGACGATTCCCCCTTGCTGTTCGTGATGGGCGGAAGGACGTGAGTGAACATATTGCAGTAGCGGATCTCGCGGATGCTTATCCCCCTGCCCAGCATGTGATGCGCCATCAGGATCATCACCCTCACAGCCAAGGCCCTCCACAGCGACTGACTGGGGTAACTCATCGACTCCCGAAAGTACTCCTTGGCCCAGTACGGCAGGATGTCTGAAACGAGAATGCGGAACTGCTCCTCCGTGTAAACATCGTCGAGCGAGCCCCGGTGTGGATCGACGCACTGCCTGCATTGAGTGGGCAGATACAGCGAGTACTTGGGTGAGAATTTGAGTGAAAAGTTTTAGAGTCCGGTGTATGGCAGCCTACTTACTCGAACTGAAAGTCGTGCAGCTGCCGCAGCTTGACCGCAAGAAGCTGCCGGGCCTCGGTGATCTCGTCCAAGGGTTTCGTTAGTGGCTCGTCGAAGAGTATGGCCTCTACTCTGCAGAAGCACGTCAGCGCAGTAAGGCGCGCCAGCATCATCGGAGGGGTGCTTTTTTTCGCCTTCCTTCCAGCGACTCTGGTCCGGCCTGTATCCAACGATGCCGCCTGTTGGTCGGTTTCAGTCGACATGTATTCGACGTACGCGTGCAAGCGCCATTTCGTTATTTTCGGCCCATGCAGGTGCTCCTCGTTACGCAGCGCCTCCCTCCATCTCGACCCCATATCATCACCGATCTCCCTACCGATCTCGTCCTCGTAGATCACCTGCTCCTCTTTAGGCACTCCGTTGCTTCTCTCGGGTGCCAGAATTTTACAGGCCCAAGCTTTGTAGTGCATGCTTCCAGAGACATAGTTCGGCCGTGTGGAATCCTGGTCAACTCCCAGCAGCGGAACCTCACACCGAAGAATCCTGCTTTTAAGTGTTCCGGTCGCCAAGTACGGATTGTCTGCGCCCGGTTGGTCGCCGAGAATGTGCGCAGCATCCTCCTCTGATTTATTTGCCGCAGCAGGCCGCAGAGGGTCCTGCGGTTCGACATCGTCCGCCTCCTGCTGTTCTCCCGTCCGAACATCGTCATCGTCCGTCGCTTCAGGGACGTTCCTGGCTAAGTCCTCTCTGCTTGGTCTCGTCGAAGTGCGCCTAGGAGCGGCGGGGGCGGCTCGAGAAGCGGATGTGCCGGCTGGGGGTGGTTGGCGAACCTCAGGCGGAACAGCCCTCGCTCTCCTACGTCACCCACCTGTCGAGGTCGGTGCACCAGCCGAAGGTTCCGTTGAGCGGTGGGCTGTCGACGATGGTGCACGGTGAGCTGGAGCCTCGTGTGTAAAGGGGGCATTTGTTGTCGAGATGGGTTCTACGACAACAGGTATGGATTGACCTGTCGAAGGGAATTCGGTCTGTGCACCACCCACTTCAACAGTGACCGGAATACCCGTCGAACGCTGGTCCGTAACAACCGGCTGTATTACTACCGGTATGGCTCGCGACGTCGAGGTGGGCGGTGCCACCTCCGGTATGGCACGCGTCGTCGAAGGGGGCGCGGAAGAAACCGGCCTGGCTCCAGACGACGAAGGGGGTGGTGTCGAGATGGACTCCAATTCGACAGGTATCCGTCCTACGTCCGCCTGCCGGGAAGGCGCTATCGTCGACGGATCGGTCTCCATCAGTGCCCACCGAAAGCTACCATTTCTCCCTAAATCCTGGCCTGCTGAGAAAACTGTGGTGCTTCTACTATGAATTCAGGTTTATACAGCGACCTTGGGCTGATGTTGCTCCCCGTGGAGACTGAGACATTTGACGTGGCAGTCAGCAGTTGACGTGAACGTTTGACTGCGACAGACGTAACCCGTCGCCCATCCGACAGCGACAATTCGCTCGACCGACGAGGCGACAGGTCGGCCGCAGTTGACGTCTCCGTCGATTGCGACCGTCGGCCGGTTGCGAAACATGTTTCGCAACCGCCGACCGTTAGCGCCACCGTGTAGGCGATTCCCTGGCGACTTGCCACCGGGTGTAACCAGTGTTGTCGGGGGTGCACGGTGCTTGACGGCGATTGGCCAATGTCCGTCGAGCACTCTTCGACAAATGTCCTCGAAATTGCAACAGTGCGGTTGACATATATATTGGCATAAGAAAACGACATTGAACCCGCGGGTTTCGGAGGTTTTTTTGGCCTGGTCAGCCGGGAATTTTCGGGGGCCCGGAGGGATTCGGAGGGTGTTTCGTTTTGCCTCAATTCCCTTTGTGCCAGGGCGGGCGGGGCGGCATGTGATGACGTCACCCGTGTGTAAATAATAGGGAAAAGTCCGACATCAATGGTAACGTGAATTCGTGAGGCCGCAATCAGGGCCAGCACATTTCGTTCAAACCACGAAATTTCCTCCAGCTTCGGATGCAGGCTCGGCATCAGATTTCACATCTCTGATGTTCCCCGACCCCGACACACTCGAGGCTACCGTAGGTCACTCACTACACTCCCAGAAGATTTGCTGGGCCTTGAAGCAGGTAGAGTAGCAGGTATTTGGTTTATGTGAAGATCCGTCTTATTCGCGCATAGTGTGATAATAACCGGAAGTATTTTTTCCTGAACATCCATATTCTCTTCTTCCTGCCGTCAGCTTTTGCTTATCGATTCCCCAAATAGAGATCGGACGACCCCAATGGACGGCTGGGATAACACGACCAAATCCACGGTTCAAAAGATCCCGCTGCTGACCGTAAAAGCAGGCCCTCGAGACGATCAATGGAAGCAGCGACTCAAGGAGGAGTTTCAGGTGCGTCGGAACGAGCCTTAGAACGAATTTCGCCTTAAAACGAGTTTCCGAATGTTGGTGCGTCAGAGCCTAACAGCGACCCGAAGGAACATGAGTGACCGATACACTGTTTTCTTCCCCTCCATCCAGGTTCCCCCTCCTTCAAACCCCCCGCACCTTTCCCTCGTCCCACGCTCTCATCGTACGTGAGGATGCGTGCATGAGCAGCCTTCTTTCCACCCGAACTCGGGCCCCCTTCGCGCCCTCAACCCCCCACCCACTCCCCCCTCCCGCCGCACCCGTTTTCCCCCCCAGGCTCTGATTTGGGCACGTGGCGATGAACAAGGCGTGCATGAGTAACCCAGTAACCTCACTGGCAGCTCTCTTCCCCTCCACCCACCGGACTGCGTCCCCTCCAACCCCCCACACCTTTCCCCCCTTCTTCCCGCCTCCCAGGCGTTGATAGAGTACGTGAAATATGAACAAGGCGCGTGACAACGACTGCCCTCAGCCGCAGTTTGGTCTCCCGGAACCCAACTCCCACTCCCCACGCACCTCCCCCACCCCTACCCCCCTTCTCCCGCCTCTCCCGCGTGGCAGGCGCTGATCGAGTACGTGAAGATGAACAAGGCACGGGACAACGACTGGTTCCAGCTCGCACCCGCCAATGCCGAGGGCACCAAGTGGAAGGGCAAATGCTGGTGCGTGGGGCTGGGTGGATGGGCGGGTGGGGTGGAGTGGATGGGCGGGTGGGGTGGAGTGGATGGGCGGGTGGGGTGGAGTGGATGGGCGGGTGGGGTGGAGTGGAGTGGATGGGTGGGGTGGAGTGGATTGGTGGGTGAGGTGGAGTGGATGGATGGGTGGGCCAAACTGTATGGCTGGAAGGATGTGGATGTGATTATGTGGGAGTCTTGCAAATCTATTGTACGAGTCCCTCTGTCCCACTCTTCCTCTCTTCCTCTTTTCCTTCGTTCCACTGTCCCAGTCTTCCTTTTTCTCTCTCCCTATGTCCCACTCTTCCTCTTTTCCTCCGTCCCTCTGTCCCAATCTTCCTCTTTTCTTCTGTCCCTCTGTCCCTCTCTGTCCCATTCTTCCTCTCTCCCTCTCTCCCTGTCTCCCTCTGTCCCTGTCTCCCCCACTCCCTCTGTCCCTCTGTCCCTCTCTCACTCTGTTCATCTGTCCCTCTCTCCCACTGTCCCGCTGTACCTCTCTCCCCCTCTCCCTCTATCCGTCTCGCTCCCTCTCCCTCTGTCCCCTCTTCCTCAGTCCCCATCTCTCCCTCTGTTTCTCTGTCCCTCTCCCTCTGTCCCTCTCCCTCTGTCCCTCTCTCGCCCTCTCCCTCACTCCCTCTGTGCCTCTCCCGGTCTCTCCCCCTCTCCCTCCTTACCTTTGTCCCTCTCTCACTCTGTTCCTCTGTCCCCCTCTCCCACTGTCCCGCTGTACCTCTCTCCCCCTCTCCCTCTGTCCGTCTCTCTCCCTCTCTTCCTCTGTCCCTCTCCCCCTCTGTTCATCTGTCCCTCTCTCCCTCTCTCCGTCTGTCCTCCCCTCCCTCCCTCCCTCTGTGTTTCTGACCGTCTGCCCGTCCGACCAAACCTGATCAAGTACGATATTGACCAGATCTGAGTCGCTTCTGAATCGTGTTGCATGGCAGGAACGTGTACATTCTGAGCAAGTGTGACTTCGACCTGCACTTCATCCCAGTCTCCTGCCCAGCCACTTGAGTGTTGACATGTCTCACAGGCTCCCTCTCTCGTCTCATGTGTGCGCGACAGGTACGTGTACAATCTGATCAAGTACGAGTTCGACCTGCAGTTTGACATCCCCGTCACCTACCCTGCCACCGCGCCAGAGCTAGAGCTGCCAGAGCTGGATGGCAAGACAGCCAAGGTATGCAGGGCGATGGTGTCTGGGAAGATACTCCTCTCGAGGGGGAGGAGAAGGGGGGGGGGGGACGAGGGGGAGGGAGGGGGGGTTGTCGTACAGAATACCCGTTTTGAGGTGCCTAAAGAATCTCTATAAAGCTAGAGCTGCGTGAATTGGACAGCAAGGCAACCAAGGTATGCAAGGCGACATGTGATCAGGAATGTATTTTCCTGGGGGACTGGATGAAAGGAACTTTCAGGTCGATCAATCAGCCTCTCTGTTTTGGTCTTGTTCTCTTGTCCCACACTTCCTTCCATCACTCTTGCTCACTGTAAAACCTAACTCCAAACCATCTTTCTATTTTGTATTTCAGATGTACCGGGGGGGAAAGATTTGTCTGACGATACATTTCAAGCCTCTGTGGGCAAAGAACAGGTCAGTCTGCCTGTTCAATACTTGATTCGCGGGCGCAACTATTACCAAGGCGGGCAGAATTGTCTCACAAGGCATTTCAAGGCGTTGTGATCAATAGCTTCATTTCACCCCATGCCCCTCCTAACCCCTTACTGTTTGATCCTATATAACTCGTCCTTACCTCTCCATCCCTTGGAGACAAGGTAAAATCAAGTTTGTGCCTGTTGTCCCTCCCATCCCCCCATCCCCTTTTCCCCCTCTCCCCCATCCCCTATCATAGCCTTTGCCCCTTGTCGTTCCCGGCAGTCGTCGGTTTGGGATAGCGCATGCATATGTCTAGGCCTTGGGCCGTGGCTGGCAGCACAAGACTTTTCAGATGTTCCCCCATCCTCCACATGCCCCTCGCCCCGTGTGTCTTGCTCGCAGTCCTCGGTTCGGGATAGCCCATGCGCTGTGCTTGGGTCTGGGGCCGTGGCTGGCAGCAGAAGTGCCGTTCCTCGTGGACTCGGGTGTGGTTCGCCCCAAAGATGTCACAACAATAAAGCCGCCGGCCAGTGCTTAACAATTTCTTAAGACATACATGTCACAAATCACCGTCATCGCCCGGATTCAAGACATACATGTCCTATCCAATACTGCTCTGAAAAAGGGTCATTAATCTTATCAGCAGAACGACCAATGTGTATTAGAAATATTATTAGCAAGAAACCCCTTGTTTAGTAAAGTTTGTCATTGCAAGACTGTTTCTTTTAATAGCGAGACAAACGGAGCCGCCTTACTAGGAGATCTGGCTGCTAGGGAGGGACTCTTTTAAACTGACGAAACTATTGTGTAACCCACGCTAGCCAATCAGGTTCGGGATTTTTTATCACTTTCGTTCTGAAAGGCGATCGCTCATTCGCCAGCTTACTATTTTTGCGGCAAAGCTACGCATATACTTACCGACCAGGTTGTTGCAGGTGCCGAGCCTGGTCCTTACGGACAAGTTTTCTGCGCCTGGTTCATCAAGAGCAAAGCTACGACAGTGTTCAAGCCCTACTAGCTCTCACGAAGAGAATCACGAACACCTAGGTAGGAGTGCTCTACGTTCGCTGACTAGTTGTACAGTGCTTGGAATCCAGTGCCTAGAATCATGACTAGTATCCACGGCCGTATGGCGACTCTTGAGCTGACGCAAGAAGAAATCCCGCAGCAGCAGCCACAGCTTAGAGCCTCTGGTCACGTGTCAAGTATGACTGACGACCTTCTAGGAACCATTCTTCTCCTCGTCGCATCTAACGGCACCAAATTTGATAGCCACGACTGTCTTACGAATAACGAGCCTATTCTGCAAAAGAGGATCGAAAACGCGTTAAACGAGCACCTGCCGAGCGAGAGCGTCTTGTTCGGGTTACCCGAGGCTCCTGTCTCCACGGCCTCGTCGCTCACTGCCTTCCGCCACGCTCTGGTCTGCAAGCGATGGCTGCGCGTCGCCAGATCCGTGCATCCCGCCATCGTCGTGCCTCGAAAACGCTTCTTCTCCTCTCGAGCTCTCGCCTCGCTCCTCGCTTCACCCACTTTGGGATTCCCGAACCTTCGTCATCTGCATCTCGGAGAATCAGGATTGGACGTCGTAAATCGCCACCTCGTGCGATCCATCTGCACCGGATGCGGCTCATCCTTGACCCATCTCACGATGCATCTGGACGGCCGTCAACCAGTGATGTCCACGCAACCGGCCGGCAGTAGCCGCGGGGAGCTGTCGACCAGCCTTGCAGCGATCTCGGCCTCAGACGTCGCCGAGATCTGTAATTCCTGCACGCGATTGGTCAATCTGGATCTACGTCTGGGTGAAGGTGTATGCGAGATCCCAGCTTCCATCAGCCGCCTGCAGCAGCTCACGCGCCTCAGCATGAGCTTCAATAATGTTACCGGGTTACCAGAGGAGCTGTTGAGCTTGTTGGGACTTAAGCACTTACTCATCGCGTCGCAGTCTTTGAGCGTGCTGCCTATTCCGTTCGGGTGTCTCACCTCGCTGGAGCAACTTTCCCTTCGCAACTGCCCTATAGGTCATCTCCCGCGCGACCTAGGCCAGCTTCGTAGCATCAAGATCCTCACCCTCTCGTATCTGCGAAGCCTTGCTTCACTTCCTGATTCATTCTGTCAACTGTCGGCCCTCTCCCACCTTTCTCTTGACCACTGCCCCCGATTCGCCAGGCTACCAGATAATATTTTTCAGCTGCCCGACCTAGATACGCTGCATCTAGACAATCTGCCTGCTCTCACTTCGCTTCCCAATTCGTTCGGCCAGCTGCCCGCTCGCAAACCCGTGGGATTTCCCGCCCTTCGGAGTCTTAAGATCCACAATTGCCCTCGCCTATCCTCGCTCCCTGACAATATCGGTCAGTTTTCCGCTCTCCAGCAGCTGCATCTGAAGTTCCTTGATCATCTTACGGTTCTTCCGGATTCCCTGGGGTTCATTAAGGCGATGAAGGAGTTGAAAGTGGTTGAGTGCGCCAATCTTGAGAACCTTCCCGAGTCCGTATGCGCCATGGGAGCGCTCACAAGCCTCATTTTTTACGGCTGCTATTTTTCCGGCCTGCCCTGGGACATCGGGCAGCTCCAAAACTTGGTTACTATGAAGCTGTTTTCCACACGCCTTCTTCACCTGCCTGACTCGTTCGGGCAGCTGGGGAAGCTGAAGGAGCTGACCATATACGAATGCTACGACCTATTTGAGCTCCCCGCCTCGTTCACCAACCTCTCTTCATTAGAGACCCTACTCATCTATGGTGGATCCTCGCTCATAGACTTGCCCCTGGGTTTCGAGAATCTGTCAAAGCTACGTCGACTAGAGCTGCTAAACTGCGCCATGCCGTACCTCCCTGATAGGTTCGGGGAGCTGCTGAGCCTGGAGATTCTCATACTTCAAACGACTGACACGTACAAAAGAATCGGGGTTAATTTCGAACCCGCCTCACGGCCCGCTCATCTGGGGTATGAGAGCGAAGGCGAGGAGTTCGAACTGGACGGATCCTGCTCCCTGCGTGCCTTTCCTGGGACCTTCAGCTTGCTCACGCGCCTTGAGCAGCTGATCATAGACGGGTGTGAGATGCTGGAGGAGCTGCCAAGCGGCATGGGCAATCTGCGCAGCCTGAAGGTCCTGAAAGTGGAGAACTGCAAGCGGCTGAAGGTCTTCCCGTCCTTCTTGCTCCCTGCTGGGGCTGATGGCCAAGCTACAGACTCTTCTGCTGCTGCTGCCACCTCATCTGCTGCTGCTGCCACCTCATCTGCTGCTGCTGCCACCTCATCTGCTGCTGCTGCCACCTCATCTGCTGCTGCTGCCACCCCATCTGCTGCTGCTGCCTCCTCTGCTGCCATCCCCTCTCCGCTCCCACAGCTTGAAGAGCTGGTGATCTCTTTCTGCCCGAAACTAACGAACCTTCCAGAAGGCCTTCATCTGCTGCCGAGGCTGAATCACTTCATGCTCGAAGACTGCACCAGCTCGAAACTCGCCAGCCGTAGCACTACCTCGCCTTCATTACCCCCACTAGTAGCACCCATCACCCTTCCACGCTCTGTAGAGACAGTAATCATCTCAAACGCCTTCCAGTCAGCCCACTACCTCCCAGAATCCTTCCTTTCCCTGGACCGCCTTCTCCACTTGAACCTATACGACCTCCGATCCCTCACGCACCTTATAGCCCCACCAGCCCTCTCCCAAACCCCAGACAGAGCCGAAGCTGACAAGAAATTCACACCTCATGCTCCTCTGCCTGTGCTTCCCAGGATGCCTGGATCGATAGGGCAGGCTGGATTGGGGCGCCTGTCGTCTCTGGTGCACCTTCACATTGTGAACACCAACCTCCCCGCACTCCCGGAAAACCTAGGCGATCTGAAAGAGCTAGCAGTATTGCTGCTAGAGAAGTGCCATGCCATCACATCCCTCCCCTCCTCCATGGTTACCCTTCCCAAACTGCAGCAGATCAATCTCAAGACCCTTCCTCTGCTGACTCACCTGCCCGAGAATCTCGGGCAGCTGAAGGCACTCAATGAGTTGGGTTTGGATTCCTGTAAAAGCCTAGAGAACCTTCCATCTTCCTTCACTCTGCTCTCCTCCCTTATAATGCTTAGCATAATCAACTGTCCTAAGATTACTTGTCTTCCAGATTCCCTTTCCTCTTTCACCTGCCTTTCCTCTCTGAAACTCAATCGTCTGCCCAAGCTACGTTTTCTCCCATCTCCATTCTCCCTCCCATCACTTGTCCAAGTCTCGCTGCAAGGATGCAAGGCGCTGAGGGCTCTGCCCAGCGACTTGGGCAGTTTGTCTTGTCTGAGGGAGGTGGATCTGGACGTGTGTACTCAACTGAAGGAGCTGCCAGGATCGCTGGTGGATAGAGTGAATGTGATTCAAGTGAAGGGTTCTTGGGGAAAGAGCTGCTACTAGTGCTGTTTGGGATAGAGGGATAATGCATGGATTGGCCTCGATGCTGTGATTATATTAGCATCAGTATTGGCATTACAGCTCCCAATCAACAGAATTGTGGCATGGCATGGCACACCCCGTTGTTACTGGTACATAGTTTGGCTTTTGTCTTGCAAGTTGCACGAAAACAAAGCCACTTTGTTGGAGAGAAAAAGTGGCATCGTAAGGAAGAGATGGCTAAACATGTGAAAGTAGGCTGATGCACATGGGCATTGAAGAATAGTGTGTGGTGTGAGTTGGCCCGTGTGATGAGCACGATGGTTACACTTCCATCTTCCAAGTCACACAAGCGATCTGGACAAGAGCCGGGCGGCAGCAGCGCCATCCACGCGGGTCTTTCTCCTCTCAGGAACCGACCAATAGCAGCTCGCCAGAACATCAGCTGACGCGTCTTCAAAGCGGGACACAGACAGACAGCACGCCACAGCCCTCACCAATCTCTCATCCGCATCTTTCTCCAAGCATCCGTCTGCACACCCCTCCAGCCGTTCACCTGTACACCTATCCCGAGACCCCCTACTGCTGCTGCTGCTATCGTGCTCAGAACCAGCCCTCCTCCTCTCCGCACCCCTTCTCGCTCGCCGCCTGGCCTCTCGGATCCGCCACTCAGCCGTTCCTGCAATTTCCGCAGACGCGAATATCACAAGAAACGTCCCTGCTGCTGCCACTCCCCTGTCTGTCCCCTGCATTCCCACAGCCTCTGCTGCTTCCTCTCTCTCGTCTCCCTCCGCTTCCTTCCCTGCCCCTTGTATTTGTTCTGCCGCTGCTACTGGCACGGCTCTCACAGATGGGTGCAGCCCTGTGATTACCTGCACAGCCCTGCGAACCAGCACTGCAGGCAGCGACTCATAAGGCGGTGGTTCAGGGCTGTGATGCAACACCTGCACGTCAGCATGAGCGCCAACAGCTGTGGCCACAGAAGCATCGGCACCAGCATTGCTGCACTCCCTCCCGATCACAGTAGCTGTTGCAGCAGCAGCAGCAGCAGCATCAGAGTCAGCAACCGCGGCACTCAGAGAAAAAGAAGCACCGTGATTCCCTCCATCTCGACCCATCAAACCCTTGACGCCGCTGCCCATCACCATTTCAGTTATCTTCTCAATCGCCTTCTCCAGCTCACACAGCTCTGCACGAACCACCAGAATGTGCCGCGTGCCGGCTGCTGCCAACTCCTCGCCACTCCCACAGTCCTCCTTGGCACCTGCAGGCAAACCATGTGAACCTTCAGTGGCGCCCCAAGGAACTCTCACCCTATCCCCTTCATCAACTGCCCTGCTTTTATCCTCCTCCACCTGCCACATCCTGTAGTCATGACTTGCCCTCGTTATAATCACACCATCCAGCCCTTCATCTGCCCCGAAATCTTCCTCTGATAGAGTCACCATCTCAGCCGCTGTCAGCCCTGCGCTGCTCTCCTCACTCCCACACCCCTTCCCCTCCCCTCGCCTCTCACTCCCCCCCTTCTCACTCCCTTCTCTCCCTTTCGTATGCCACCTGTTACCCCCACCTCCTCCACCTCTCTCCCCATCCCAACAGCCCTTCTCCCACTGCCCCTCCTCCCCTTTTCCTTTCTCACCCCTCCAGTGCTCCCCAAATCCCCTCTCTCCGCCATCCCCTCTTCTTCCTGCACCCCAATCGTCCCCTCCTCTCGTCCCCTCGCTCCTTTCCTCTCCTCGCCCCTTCCCACTCCTCTCCTTCAACTTTTCTACCCCACTGCTTCCCTCCTTCTCATGGTATAAGAACCTTCCCCGTCCCTTCCTCTTAGGAACAAGAGACACCTCATCCCCCTCGCTCTCTGCACGCTCGCCACACTTCCCTCCTCCTCCTCCCCTTCGCTCCTTGGTGCTCTCATCCATTCCGCCACCACGTCTCTTCCACTCTCTCCCACCCTGCACCTCTCTCCTCCCTACTCCAGCAACAGTAACGGGCAGCGAGAAACGTTTTGGCACCGGGGAGGCCTGTGCCGCCCGCTCAAGGGTCTGCTCTCGACTCCCGCCGCCCGGAATAAAATCACACAGCATCAGTGGAGGCACGAAACTATACCAAAGAGTACAGGATCTGGCTTGGACTCCTGATGCAGGTCTACTAACGAGTTGCTCCGTAGTGAGGCTGCAGCACACGTGCTTGTAACCAGTGTTACCCCAAAGAGGGTAGGAGGAGGAGGAGAGGCGGAAGCGCTTGGCTGCGGAGTGCACGAGCAGGCGATGGTAGGAGCGGAGCTTTGGGAACACCAGCATCGCGTCTGATGCGCGTCTTGCAGTTCCTTCCCTTCCCATCTCAGTTCCATCTGTTACCGTTATGCCCCCTGTCGTGACGCCCCCTGTCTTTATGCCTCCTGCCAATTCGACCCCTGTGGTGACACCATCAACAGCCCTTTCAGCTGAATTCTCTTCGGCTGCACTGTTCTCTCCTCTTGCTGATCCTTCCCAACTCTTTCTGCGCCTGCCTGCTTTACTATCATTCGCCACCCCTGCCGTTCCCTGCTGCCCTGCTGCTATCCGCGCGTCAGCTGCCGCAGCTGCCGCCCATGCGCCTCCCCCTTGGTGCGCCTTAAACCCTCTCCCCTTGCACACCCTCCTCTGAAACCCTTGCTTCTCCCCCTCACTCCCCGCCCCCTCCTCCCCACTTTCCAGTCCTTCCTCCAAGTCACTCTCCCCTCTTTCCGCCTCCCCCCTCATTTCTCTTGCGCCAACATCTCCCCCACTCCCCTCCGCTCCCCCTGTCCTCTCCGCCAGTCTCCCCTCATCCTGCCCTTTTTGTAGCTCTGCTTCCCCGTCAACCCCATGCCCGCGTCCGCGCAAGACCTTTCTTTCCGCTTCCCTGGCCCCTTCCTGCGCCGCTGCCCCCCCCGCTTCCCCATCCACTTTCCGCGCCTCTCCCTCCCCAGGTCTGGCCCCCACCCGCGCCTCAATCTCGGCGCGTATCTTCTTTTCCGCGGCCCCCGTTGCTGTATCACTTTCTACAGTCACAACCAACCTGCCACTTCCTTCCCCCGCTTCGCCGTTGGCGCGTGCGGAGCGGCCACGTGTCCATGGTTCCGCGCCTGGTCGCACGCGCCGCCGCGCAAGTGCTCCCTCTCCGCCTTGGCGCGCGGAACCAGCTCTGCCAGCTTGCTCCGAAGACCGCGCAGCGGCGCTAAGTTCTGGAGCGGTCGGCGCGCTGCTTCGAGAGGAGCTTGCGGCCGGAGCTCCGCAGGCGTTGGGGGAAACGGGAAGAGAATGTCGCGGAATGAATGGGGTGTTAGGGGGTGCGGAGCCCCACGGGGAGGAGAGGAAACGCAGGATGTCATCCTCTACGCGCAAGAGGAAGAGGCGGTCGGACGGTTTGGATAGAGACGCTAAAAGACGGTGCGGCTCCATCGCGCGAATCTCGGCAAAATGAGGTAATGGATTAGCTTCTGGACCTATTTGTAAGCCTATGAATACACCACAATTTGATCTTCGATACCTTGTACAGAAATCATTATGTCCATAGTTGAACTTATATGTGGGCTGTTATGAGTTGTAAACCAGAGTTGCTCGGAAAACGAATAACAAAGCTTGTGACAGAATGAACTGACGATAAAATGAAAGGCACACGATTATATAGCGGGTCAACCAATTTTCATGATTATATGAAAAAGAAAGTGTTCATGAAAAAAAAAGAGTGTTCGTGCAAGATTTTGCAAGCTTCGTTTACCTTATTGGGGTTTACTATTTCGGATACAACCCTGACTTTCGGAACTGCACCTTCGGCCGGTTTACTTGCTGCAACCTCGCGTTGCCTTCGGTTTTCCTTTGCCCAACCTGCACCCAACCTCGTGTTTCCGAGGTTCAATCTTAGCTAGGTTGACCCGCTATATAATCGTGTGCCTTTCATTTTATCGTCAGTTCATTCTGTCACAAGCTTTGTTATTCGTTTTCCGAGAGACTCTGGTTTACAACTCATAACAGCCCACCAGGCCCTCAGATATCAGGATAAGTTATCCTGATTACCCTGATTTCAGGATAAGAGTTGGGGTTCCAGTGCTGGAAATTCAGGATACCATAAAATACAGCCCTGAACATTCAGTATTAGGCTGTATATGACACCTAGGAATCAGGATAAAGGTGTACCTGTAACCAGGGCCCTAGATTCGTTTCGGGACACGCTGATGGGTCAGAGTGCACCCTTCTCTAAACTATGTCAGTCAGAGTTGCATCCAACTTTGAGTCTCGAAATTCAGACAACACTAGATATTTTAGGCTGAAAGTACAGAGTTACACTCGGATTGAAGGCTGCTTCCTTCATACTGCACCAAAAAAACATTTCAACTATCTGACTCAGATTCTATCACATGTGACTCTACAACTTCCCGCTGAACTACTGGCTCCTCTACAGCCTCCTTCCCAGCTCTTTGGGGCTCCCTGTTGTCAGAATCCCAACCACTAGACCATTGGGATAAAAGGGCTTGTTAAGTAGCGGGTCAGTGCGCCCATAACCCCCCAGGACAACGAGCCTGTAGCCCTTCCCTAGGATCGATTGGGGATCACCACTGGACCTCTGACACCCTCCCGCACTGGGATGCCCGAAGTGCACACATAGGGATTCGAACTCGAGACCTTCGCTATGACACCATGTCAAAATCCCAACCACTAGACCATTGGGATAAAAGGGCTTGTTAAGCAGCAGGTCAGTGCGCCCATAACCCCCCAGGACAACGAGCCTGTAGCCCTTCCCAAGGATCGATCGGGGATCACTAGTGGACCTCTGACACCTGTGTCTTGCAGCAGGTGCTGTCACTGGCCGGCGCTTCTTATACTAGCTGGCGGGCTAGTGTTAGGTTGCGAAGGTGGAGCAGTCGGTGGAACATGATTTGGTAAACATGATCTAAGAAAGTCCAGGCCGCTCAAAGCGTTTGAAGTAGTGCGACGATCGGTATCGTCATCATCGTCGGGCGCTTCGGCGGCAGCGTCTGTGGCTGCCATTAAGTCTGCCGAGCACTAGTTTTGCGAGGGCGAGGAGAGAGAGCCTGAAACAAGGGATCCAGCACTGGTTTCTGGCGAGGAAATTGAATGAAGCGAGAGAGACAGGGCACCGAGTGACCCCCACGAAGGGCGACGATGAGGAACATGAGAGGTCCTCTTATTTGGACCGCTCATCTCCCTGGTGGTCACTGCATGCACAGTACTTGGTCGTGTGTGCAGGGAAGGTGGGGTGAGTGGGGTGGATGGATGTGGTGACGTGAGAGTTGCAGCGCGCTGCAAGCTATGCGTTGGCAAGGTGGACGGTGGAGGGGGGTGGATGGTTGTGGTGTTGTCCAGGTGCAGCGCGCTGCGAACTATGCGTTGGCAAGGAATCTTACCAACACCCTCTGCTGCGCTGCCGCGATTGGCTGGAATTGAGCTAGATTACAGCATTCGTGGCCCAACGCGACTGTGCGGTGCCGCGCTCGGGAAATGTTTCGTTTCCCGCCCGTGATTGACGGTGTTAGTGCAACACGCTGCCAGGCTGGCGGAAACCGCTGCATTACTCGTTTCAGAGTGCACCCCCGAAACAAGGCTGAGGCTCATCCTACACCCATAAAATTTGTCTGATATTTCAGCCACTACATAAAAAACAACTCTGAAAAATCAGAGAAGGTACATAAATAAAACCTTACAATTCAGACCAGGTAAAAAAAAAGGTCAGAATTGACTCTGAATCATCGTAAAAAGTCTGATATCTAGGGAACTGCCTGTAACACTGAACAGTAGCGCTGAAATGCCTTGCAACAAGAGATCCACGTTCGAATTCCAGGCCCGCTAGGCACGATGCAAGCGGGAATCGATCTGCACCGTGACAATCCGCATATTAAAAAAATAGGCCACAGCTCGGCTGCATGGGAAAATTAATGATTTCCCTGTACATTTAGGTGAAGCTTCAATGTAGCCCTAAAAGTTCAGGGAAACCATATCATCCAGAGCTGAAGCCTCATGATAAAATTCTATATTTTAGGGTACAGCCGTGATGGTTCAGGGTACCCTGAAACCAATCTGAGGCCCTGACCATATTGCATTGCAGTATGTTGGATCTAAGCATGTGCTGTTCTCTGTCTAGATTCAAGATCAGGCCCTCATATTTCAGGAATTTGACCGTGATTTTGACTTTGAACCCTGGTTTTCATGGTTTTTTTTTATAGGACATTGATAGAAGAGTTTTTTTAAACCCTTTTTTTCAGCTAACATTCTTGTAGGCCTGAAATTTCAGCATATTTTTCCCTAGGGGACCCTGATTCGGGTCATACAATAGTGGGGCCATCCTTGTTGCTGACATAGCTTAGATTCAGTGAATCCAAAAATTTTGCCCAGATTTTCCGCCGTCATCGTCAATCACAGGAATTGGCATCTTTCATGTACTTACACTTGTTAGAATGAGAAGGATTGATTGCACTAGGAAGATTGAGAGTACAAGTAGAAAAACCTAGAATTGTGTACCCCCTAAGGCTAAACCCACTATAGCCTACAGAACTGTAACATATATAATGTTTGACACACCCCCATAGGCAAAGTGGGGGAGAGCAAAGGGGGTCATAAGACCAGTCAAGAAAGGCAAAGCAAGCTCAGGGTGGATCACAAAGTCACCACACACTCTGAGCACAAGCAAAGGGCCACAAGGCCAGTTCACATGCAGAGGCATACATGCAACACAAACAGCACAATGATCTCTATCTAGCAGTGCAAACATGCAGGTATATATATATAGATCACAGTACAAGCAAACCTACAGCAAGTGAGGAAAAGTGGGCACAAGCCCTAGCAAAGTGCAGAAACGCTGATGATCACCAGACTGAAGTGCCTTGGTGAATATATCAGCTGTGTTGGCCTGAGTGGCCACGTAACGCAGATGAAGCTGACCACGCTGCTGCAACTCTCGAGCCAGGAAGTAACGTAGAGCGATGTGCTTCGTTCTGTGCTCCAGTCTGTGCTCCTCACACAAGGCAATGGCAGCCTTGTTGTCGACGTACAGCACTGGAGGAGAATGAGGCCGCTCTCCCAGGTCGGTCAGCAGGTAGGTGAGCCAGCGTAACTCCTGTGCAGCCATGGCTGTGGCGTAGATCTCAGCCTCACAACTGGAGCTGAGAACTAAAGACGAACGTGTAGAACGCAAGGAAACTGAGCCAGAGCCAAGGCTGAAGGTGTAACCCTGTGATGACCGCTAAGTAGCCTGGTCGTCAACCCAAGAAGCGTCTGAGTGCCCAGTGAGAACAACTGAGCTCCTCCCTCCAAGCACGAGCCCCATGACCGATGTACTGCACAAGTAGCGCAATACCCTCTTTGCAGCATCCCAATGCACCTTTCGGTGCCTACCACGAGCCACGTAGCGGGCCAGAAGGCCAAGAGGGTATGCTAGGTCAGGACGAGTGCACGTCATCAGGTACATGAGACAACCAACTAGCTCTGGGTAAGGACCACTCGACTCTACAGACTCATCCGAAGGCAGAGCTGAGAGCGAGTGACCTGTAGCCAGAGGAGTGGCCTGTGCTGAGGACCAGGTGAAGCCGAAGCATTGAAGGACATGCTGCACCATGTTTGACTGAGTCAGTGTGATGGTACGGCGTGCTCTGTCCCGGGTGATCTGCAAGCCAAGGTAGTTGCGCAGTTCACCCAGGTCTGTGCACGTCTGTCTCTTCTACAGCTCCAACTTCACGTGGGCGAGAGCCTTAGTGTCAGCAGTGGCAAAGACCAAGTCGTCGACGTACACGAGGATGTAGAACGGCGGCAGCGACGTGTCGGTGCGCAGAAACAACGACGGGTCAGCAGTAGAAGGCGCGAACCCAAGAGCTGCAAGAGTAGTCCTCAGTGTGTCGTGCCACTCACGTGGCGCCTGGCGGAGACCGTAGACCGGCCGCTAGAGGCTCCACAGGGTACATGGGGGAAACGACCCAGTGAAGCCAGGAGGGCGGCGCAGCAAGATCTCCTCGTGCAGGCTGCCCAGCAAGAAAGCTGTGCTGAAGTCAAGAGAGTGAAGCTCGTAGTCACGCTAAGCGGCAACGTGCAGTAGCACCCGAAGAGTGGTCATCTTCGGGGTGGGGGAGAAGGTCTGAAAGAAGTCTACTCCCTCTCGCTGACTGAAGCCTCGAGCAACGTAACGAGCCTTGAAGACAGGCGGAGAACCTGGCGGCCGCTTCACCCTGAAAATCCACATGCCACTGACGATGTTCGCCCCAGGAGGGGGAACCTCGTTGGCGTAAGTGCCAGTGGACTTCCAGGATGCCATCTCTGCGTCCATGGCTGACTGCCACTGAGAGGAGTACTCACCCGCGATCGCCTGAGCGTAAGAGCGCGGTGTCGGGATGTCTGGAGCATCCGGGTCTCCCTCATGGGCAAGTAGCATGGAAACGAGATGAGGCGCAACGGCT